CTGTAATGTTACATTTAATTTTTGTGTTATATATCAAATTACAGTAATTTAAAATCTTATTAATATTAGCCAAAGTAAGATGTCAACGCTTGTAGAAGAATAACACACAAAAAGAAAATGAATAATACGCAGGAAAAGAAAAATATTTTCATATTCTTATTAAGTTGAATAAACCTGATCTTAGAACAAAACATGAGCGATTGCATTTAAATACACAGAGTAGAATTAATTCTTAATGTTGATAATGATTGTTATAATGCAGTTATATATTTTCTGCAAACTAAAAAAATGAGCAAAGAAATTATTGCATTCATGAAATGTCCACTTAAAGAATTGAGTACAGTATTTCTCTTAGTTTTTTCATGTTTTTTTCCGACGTATTGTGTATACAATAGATATTTTATGTGATGGAAACAAATTTTGCATATCGAGTTTTCGGTGGGAATTCTCTTTTCCATGGTAAGGAAGTATAAATAAACCATATCTAGTAACCTGTCCGTCTGTCGGTCTGTGTGCACGCGTGTTTCTCAAGTTCGGCTTAACCGATTGTGATGAAATTCCATACGTAAGTTTTTTTCGACTATGGCACGTATTGATCAACTTTTGGGATATATCCGGCCTCGGGAAACTGCACTTTTTAGCGGACCTGTTTTACTTTTTCGATTATTTCGAGAAATCGATATTCATAGTAATCGGACGTGTTAATTACTCTCGGAAAATATTTTATTAATAAATAACGTTTATTATATTGAGTTTAAATAGTTGTTCCTGTTCATATTGGGATTCCATCAGCTGTAATGGCTGAATGTAACAAATGTCGGACTAGAATCAGAGGCGAGACCGGAATAAGGTGTGCCGGGGTATGCGGTAAAATATATCATAGCGCTATAAAATGCACTGGTTTAGATCAAGCAGCAAGCAACGCTTTGGATGCAAATAAATCTGTTAAATTCATTTGCGACGATTGTGTATTATATATTCAAAAAGTTTATATGATTTTGCAAAATATATATTGTGCGGTAAAAAAAAAACCACGATTATTTGAATGAATACAAACAAGAATTAGAGAATGCGATAAAAAAAATGAAGTTGAAATTATTGGCTTATTAAAAGCCGTTGAAGATAGGTACTTAGAGCGCTTGGAAAGTATAAAAGGTGCTCAACAGAAAGAATTTGATAAAGTATCGAGAATAGCCGAATTATTCAAAACGGACACTGAAAAATTGAATACAGTTGTAAACAAAAGTTTTTTGAAGTCAGATGAACTTTGCAGTGAACTTAAAAAAGTAAAAGCAAATGAGGTCAAATTAAATATAGGTGAAAATATTTCAATCTCGGATATTGTAAAAAATGCTGATGCAAATAAAAAATTCCCGCAAATTAAAAAATAACTTCCTTTGATTATCAAACCTATGGCATAACAAAGGTGTAATGTTATAAGTGCAGATTTAAATAATAAGGTTGATCCAAGAGACATTAAAATAAAAAATATTGAGAATTGAAAGAACGGTGTGATTGTTGTTGAAACTGATGATAATCTAGAGAGGAAGAAAATTAAATCTGTACTTGAAGGTAACCTGGATAAGAATTATGTAGTCAAAATTCCTTCTGAAATAAAACCTAAAATTGAAATAGTGCACATTGGTACATAGTACTCAGAAGTTGAGTTATTAACCAAATTTAAAGCGCAAAACCATCATCTTGAAGCGAGTGAAATGAAAATAATTAAGATATATTCGACGCGTTGAGAGTGAGAAAGTTAATAAACATATTAACTGCTTAGCTGCGAATGAGAGGTTAAAACTAAACCTTGATGCTACTCATGAAACACTAAGCAAAAAATGTCCAGTTTACTTAAATAAATTAAACATGCTGAAAAAGAAAATTGGATATTAGCAATTACTGCTAATTCAAGTTGATCCAACTAGCTATACTGTACTTAAAATTTGTCAACATACCCACCTATTTGACTCAGTGGAAAAAATAAAACATCAGTATTAAGCGTCACAATTTCCAAAAAAGACTGCTTATTAGACAATTGGTTAATGACAACAAACTTAAAAAACAAAACAGCTGGAAATGTTAGTTCATTAGCCAGAAGTTCACTCTTTATGTTCAACAAAAAGTGCTAAATACTTGCTTTTCGAAAACAAAGCGTAAATGTATGCATATGAATAACAATAATAATAAAAAAAAATTAATGGTAATAATAATAATAACAATAAAAATAATAATATCATCTATAACAATATGAACAATAATAACAACAATAATTACAGTAATAATAATAGTGATACTGCATGCAATATCACTATTATTATTACTGTATAATAATAATAGTGATACTGGTTGTGAATGGTAGTAGTATTGGGAATTTCAATGTTTCAAATTCTGATCCTATAACTAATACTATAATTACGTCAGCTAATAACTTGAATGACTTGAAGACCTATAGAAGACACATAATAAGCAAGTACAGTGAGTATCTGCAAAGGACAAGACTGGCTTTACATAATTATATGAAACCCCTAGGTAAATGATAATTCAACAAAATAACTTAGATTTAGATTTTGATATTAGTTATAGTGGTAATTGCGGCTTAAATTGTAGTAGTGTTTTTGAATTTTCCTCTAACACTAATTTGTTTTTTATAATACATCAAAACATAAGAAGCCTAAGACAAAACTTTGATTTGTTGCTAGTTCATTTAGAAACATTTATTAACAAGCCGGACTTTATTTTTGTCTTTGAAATTTGGGTTTTTGAGAACGAATTAGTGGAGTACATTATACATTTTTAGTGGAGTATATTGTACATTTTTTGCTAATACTAACGAGCCGTATGCTGCTGTTGGTGTGGGTGTATTTGTAAAAAATTGTTATTTGAATGCAGATGTTACATATTATACTTTTGCATCTGCTGATATTTTGAAAATTGATTGTAAAATTAAGGATATTTCGTTTTCTTTTATTTGTGTGTATAGATTACATAGTTGTTCAGTCTTAATGAGTTCAAAAATTTGCTATATAACATAAATTCTTCTAATTTAATAATTGTTGGTGACTTTAATCTAGATTCTCTATCTAATTCTGAAAATGTTGACTATTATCTTTCAATTCTAGCCGAAAATGGTCTATTTCCTTTTATTAATGAACCGACTAGGATTAGTTCTGGGTCTTGCCTAGATCATATTCATGGTCGTTTCGATACTATTCCTTTGCAGTTGTGTGAAAAGGGACTTTTTAACTTTGAAATTACAGATCATTGTATGACTGGACTTCTTGTTAAATCGTTAATAGTTGAAAAAAAAGAAAATACTCCTGATACTGCTAATTTTTGAATTTTGGGATGATGTTTATAATGCAGCATATAATAAATTCATTGGAATTTTAAGCAGTTATATTTCCCAATGTACTTTTAGTTATAGTCCTCGTGCGAAAAATAAAAAAATAAAACCGAAATGATATTTTGTTGGTAAAACTAAAATTAATGAACAAATTATGTATCAAATTATATGAACATCCATCTAATTCTAGGTTAAAGAGTCGTTACCAAAAGCTGTGCAAATTAATAAAAAATGAAATGAATCTGAATGCTGTGAAAGATTTTATTGTAATGAATTCGTTAAATGTAATGGTGATATAAAGAGCGAGTGGAGACTAGTTTATAACTTGCTCAATAAGAACTCGAAAAATAGTAAAAAAATAGAAATTATACGAAATGGACAGTCTATAACAGATGAGTTTCTAATTGCAAATAAGTTCAATAATCATTTTTCCTCGGTTGCAATAAAGTTGTCTTCTGATTTAGGTTCTGACTTTGAATATGATATCACGGAGTTAAACAGTATTCGTAACAGCTCCTTTTTTGATAGTTTCTCGGTACCTGAACTTCTCCAAATTATTCGGTCTTTAAAAAATCAAATTCTGCTGGGTTTGATAATATCCCCAATAAATTATTGAAGGAAATTGCATTTAATATTGTCGATGTTCTGGTGTATATTTTCATGTATTTGCAACCAGCTAAAATCTGCGGTTGTTATTCCACTGTTCAAAAAAGGGATGGAGTCAGACGTAAACAACTATAGACCTTTTTCCTTCCTTCCTACGATTTCGAAAATTTTCGAAAAGGCAATGAAAGCTAGAACATTGAAGTATTTAAATGAATTGGAATTTTTTAATTCGAAACAATTTGACTTCAAAAAAGGCGTATCAACTGAAGATGCTTTATTAAATTTTTGTTCGCAAATAAATTCAGGTTTGGACAAAAATCTAAATTGTTGATGTTACTAAAGCTTTTGACATGGTGAATCATAAAATTCTTTTGAATAAATTATTTGCGCTAGGTTTTCGTGGTTTTATATTGGATTGGTTTAAATCTTACTTAGAATGCAGGACTTAAAGAGTCAAAATTGGTAGCAAATTCAGTAGTATTCAGTATATTAGTTTGGGAGTTCCCCAGGGATCTGTTTTGGGACCAACATTATTTCTTATATATATAAATTCACTTTTTGATTTGGAATTTCAAGGTAATTTAACAGCTTTTGCTGATGATCTTGCAATTTCCTATTCGTGCAACACTCCGCTCAATCTAACGTGTGCAATCAATAAAGATCTTAGCTTATTAAGATATTGGTTCTTCCGACATAAGCTAATTGTTAGTGATAGAACAAAACTAATGTTTTTTAAACTTGTACAAAAGGAACTTTCTGATATTAATCTTGTTTTTCATTCTTCTGGCTGCAAAAGTGTTTTTATGGATAGTGATAACAACCATAATGTTAACATTGTGCATTCTGGCTGCTGTAACTCCTCTTGCTTTATAGTAGAAGAAGTCAATCAATTCAAATACTTAGGTGTGTTTATTGATAGTATGTTGAATTGGTCAGCGCACACAAATGCCATTAAGTCTTATTTGCGCTCTACTTTGCGTTATTTTTATCGCTTAAACAAAATTTGTTCGCAGAAATCCCTCTTGGTGTTTTATTATGGCATTTTCCA